TTTGGGGTGGGGGAGAGAGAGAGAGAGAGAGAGAGAGAGAGAGAGAGAGAGAGAGAGAGAGAGAGAGAGAGAGAGAGAGAGAGAGGGAGGGCGGAACACTGCAGGGTGCACATGCTTGAAAACAAGCGTGGCACTCCAGGTGGGTTGTTCGAATAGAACATAAGTGTGTAATATTTCAACGTGCATAATATTTGTATTTCAGGGGGCGACTTCCAGAAATCGACGTTTCAAGAGAAAGTTGAATAGTACATATATGCGTTTTGTTCGGGGAAGGACGATAGGCGGCGGGCGCCAAGCTTGCGTTGTGAGATACGTGAGGCAATGGGGATTGAACCCAAGACCTCCTGAATGCCACTTGCCTCCCTTACCAACTGAGCTACCGGCCACTTGGTCTACCCTTCTTCCCCCGAATACAACGCACGGTCATTATTGTTGTATTTAGAGGGAAAGTTACCCCAAATACAGGTATAATGACCGTACGTTGTATTCGGGGGAAGAAGGGTAGTCTGAGTATGAGTATGGCCCCGGCGGCTGAAAGAATAGATCTTTTTTTTATATATTTTTTAATTTTTAATTTTAATTTTTTATTCTATACTGTTCTCTCAACTTCTGTTTCGTTACCTTCCACTACCTACTCCTAAGACTATCTAGAGGGGACCCTTGCAAGCATAGTTTTCCTCTCTCTGTGAGATTTCATGTTGCCGCTTGCCCCTAATGGTTAGGGTATAGGGTTGGGGCCGCCAGTGGGGGTCTGGCTAACACAAAGACCGAGACCTGCCAGTAGCTGTGCCTCCCTTTCTCATCGTCCCCCACCCTTCATCGAGTAGCAGCAGAGGCTATGGCCAAGGCTCTCCCACACACCACACACAATTACTCGCGCTCACACTCACACCCGTGTTGGTCATAGACCCCGCTAATACCGATCAGGGGTATCCAGAGGACTATCACAGTGCGTTGGCACTAAGTGCGCCGCAGGCGGCCATGGGGCTTGAACCCACAACCTCCTGAATGCCACTTGCATGCCTAACCAACTGAGCTAGGCCGCCGGATCAGAAGTTACGGTAATAAAGGAAACCCAAAAAAAAAAAAAGGAAAAAAAAAGGAAAAGGAAACCCAGCTCCTCTCCCCTACATTTTTGTCGTTTTCGGCTGCTCTTCCATCTTTCTGTCATGTTCGGGGCACCTCCATATCCCTCCCAAGGGAAAAAAAAATAAAAATAAAAAAATTATCCGTCGTCTACTCCTCCTCTTCCACCTCCTTTTGCGATTTTTCTGCTTCGTGTTCAGATCGACCCCCCCCCTTCCCCCTCCCACCTCACACCTCAACCCCCTTCCCCAATCTTTTTGTCATCCCGCAGTCCTCTTCTCCCTCCCTTCTCTTCCCCTGGGCCTCCCATCTCTCGTCATTCTCTCCCATCCCCCGTCTCGTCCTGTCTCTCTCTCGACGCCCTCTCCCTCTCTCCCTCTCTCCCTCTCTCCCTGCTTTTCCCATTCCAAGTTTCCTCCGCCCTGACCAGCCTTGGCCCCCATCCTCAGAGGCTACCCACACTACGTAGGACTTTCCTGCATGAATCTGACCGTAATTATGGCCCGGATGCGATGTATTTGACCGCAATGAAGTCCAGAGCTCAGTGGAAAAGGTCCGAGTGTGAGTATTACCTCAGATTGTGAGCTCTCCCGTTTTCATCTCCCTCCACAGCGTCCTCATCTTCTTTTGGATTTTTCTTTTTTTTCAATTTCTGAAAGGCCGATGGCTTTTAGGTATCGTCATCGAAACTGACGCCCTCAAATAATTGCGAAGTACGTTTCATTTTTTTTGCGCATCTGGTCTTAGAGCGTACTCACGCTAGTACTTTCCTGGATGTATCTGGCCGCAATTCCGACCCCCACGGATGAATCTAACCACAATTACCCCAGAGCTGAGTAGAACAAAAGTCCGAGTGTCAGTGTTCCCTTAGTAAGGTTTTTTTTTTTTTTTTTTTTTTCAGTAAGTAAAATTTGAACTCGGGTCTGTTTATCAAAACAGTTCATCGGTGCAGCATGCAGCCGCATGGGCTGATCTCTCTCTCTCTCTCTTTTTTTTTTTTTTTTTCCCTCTCTTTCTCACCCACGGTTATGGTGGGGAGAGATATCCCTACCTGCTGTAGGCAGCCAAGCTGACGTTAAAAAAAAAAAACAAAGAAGAAGCATATGGCCCCTGCGCAGAGTTGACACGCATACATCGAGAAACACGCAGGAAAAAGGAAGGAAAAGAAAAAGGTTGAGCCCGCGAGCAGCTTATGCCACGTATTGCTGTTTTTTTTTTTTTTTTTTTGAAGGGGGGGGGAGGGGGAGAGCATTGATGAGTGTCAATCGACCCAGCGGCTTGAACGAATAAACAAACAGTAAAACAAAGTAAAATAAAAATGTACCACGTCGACGCTCGCTCCGCCTCATTCTCCATGCTCCTTCTTCTGCTCCCTCTCCTCCTCCTCCTCCGCCTCCTCCTCCTACGACGACGACGACGATCGTCCTAGAATTTCCCATCCATTTGCAAAGAGAGAGGTATACCACAGCCCCATGCACCCATTATCCCTCGACATTGTCTCCCTATTCCCTCCGCCTTCTTTTCCCATCCCTCTTCCCACATCCCCTTCCCTCCTTTCCCCCTGCCCCCCCCCCTCCCCCCCCATGACGATCCCTGGGCCCATCCTCAGATTGCGAGCTCTGCTTTTGTTCATCCCTCCTCTCGACCTCCCCCCGCCCAAATTGTCGACTACGGTCTCACGCGCGCGCGCGCGCGAGAGAGAGAGAGAGAGAGGTTAGCGGGTGAGCGGGAGGGGGGGGGGAGGGGGAGGGGGGAGAGGAAGGCGGGGTTGTCTACCTAGTCATGCAGCTCGTCCCCTAACTTAGTTGACGAGAGAGGATGATGTCAAAAAAGCGATTTGCGGGAAAAAGCAAAAGATGCCTGATTATAATTGAGGCAAAAAGAAAAAAAAGATGTCTGATACTAAATGTGTCGTGTTTGGCATTGTGTGACCAGGTGCTCGTCAGTAAGAAAGGAGAGGGGAGAGGAGAGGGGAGAGGAGAGGGGAGAGGAGAGGGGAGAGGAGAGGGAGAGAGGCAAGCCTTGAGCGATGGCGGTCGGCTCTTCAGGTGGATGGCGGCACGTGCATCGACTGACCACCACCATAAGCAGGATGAGAAGTCGGACGGCCGTTCATTCGTGTAGTCGGACCGGCGGCAGCGGCTTTACTGTTGTTGGAAGAGGAGGAGGAGGAGGAGGAAGAGGAGGAGGAGGTGCACGCAACTACGCGGCCCGTAGTTTCCTACCGAACAGACCGGAGATCGAAGGGGTGAAGGATATCATAGCTGTTGCTTCTGGCAAAGGAGGGGTGGGGAAATCCACCACTGCAGGTGAGACCTTTAAAGGGCCCCCCTTATTTCAGTTAGGTCACGTGGAAATGAATTTTGACTTTTCTTTCCTTTCCAGCATCTATGGCAATCCCGATCCCGTTTGCCTTGCCTTGCCTTTGAGCTTTTGAATTCCCTGCTTTCACTACATTGCCTATCTTCTTCTTCTTTTTTTTTTTTTTTTTTTAATTCACGAAAAAACGGGTTCAGTAACCTG